CATTTGATTGATATTTCTAGGATTTCAAAAGTTATTTCAAGGTTTTGCGAGCTAAAAAATTATTGTTCGATTGACTGGATCTGTTGTCCTTACTTTGCTGAACTCAATTCCATTTCTTCCTTGATTTAGTCATTTCAAGGTATTCCTTAACCTCTGATCTTGTAACCTTGTGTGGATTTAGTAAACTCTTGTTTGTTGTAGATTGATTGTTGTTGAAATAAAGTTATTTGTTCTTCCTTGATGAGTTGAATGACTGCCATGACTGATTTAGCTATATCATGATTTTGTTTGAGCATCAAATTCAAATTAATCGTAGTTATTCCATCCCACATTTACTAGAATTACTCTTGTGTTAATTGGTGATGAAGAGGCTCGATTGACTGAGCTAATGGCTTAAGTTTACGGATCCTATCACTGGTTGATTAGATCATTAAACATTAAGATCAAAGAGGCAATTCCAGATATGTTCGTGGTGTATTGCTGGTTGATTTGTATATTGATGTAAAACTAAAAGGCTTTTAGTACAACTAACTGTTGTTGTCATTCTGCTTTAGCTCATACAAATGTAGTTATAATTGTAAATTCAGAACAATAATCCCTGATGTGACAGTATAAGGCTGTAATTTGTAATGTTCGAGCAATCATGTGTTAATGTTTGGAATGATTTTGTCGTTACTTTCATTTCTGCAATAAGGTACGGAAATTTGGTGAATAATTAGATGGATTAGTTATTAGATCTTTGGTTTTAGAGCAGTGCTGAGCCAAAAAAATTAGCCCATACGAAGTCGTGCTATTGGTTTGGGTTTTTCATAGACTTGGAACTTTAATACATGTTTGGGCTCATTTAGAGGCCCAATTGGAGGCCTGTGATTTCAATGCGCATAAAGAGTTGGACTATTCGAGAAAGCTAAAGCACCTTGGGATTCACTGTGAGCTCGTCCACACTCATTAAGACCTGTTGGAGGTCTAAAAGTGAACACTTAACTTAAAACTCTATTTACTTTGTAATTAATGAACAAACCAATAGCAGTTCTTTTCTAGCCCTTATCGATTACATAAACACTGCCTTCCTAAACAATGCTTGTTAATTTTACAACTCATTCATCAAAATTCATCCCCGTCATTATAAATTTCAGTGACTAATTTCAGATCAGCCTTTAATACTCTAAATAGTGTATGCTTTGAATTGGCAAATAGTTCAAATACACCTTGTATCAACAACTGAATTTCATAATTTTGGACTTGTCACAATTAATCTCTAACTTAGAAAAGATACAACTCACAAACAATGCTAGCATGCTTTTAGGCACGATTAATAAATGATCGTCATAGTTATGGGTACGGTTCCCGTGGCATAACTGTGACACTTAAACCCCAAATTCAAGAGCACATTCGCGTGGCTTGATTATACAACTTTAAATAATAATAATAAACACGTTCTAAATCACGAGTGCGTTTCACGTGGCGTGATTTGCGATGTGCATAAATAACAAGTGCACAACATCGTGACTTGTTTCAAATAAACTCCATAATTATTAAAAATATAAAATCAAAAGCGGTAAAAGGTAAAATGCACATAGGTTTTAAACACATGTAGTAATCCAATAGTCAAGCCAGATGTAATTGTAAAGCGACCGTGCTAAAACAAGGAATCGGGGAGTGCCTCACACCTTCTCCCGGGTTAACAGAATTGCTTACCCGGTCTTCTGTGTTTCGCAGACTTATACAGAGTTAAACTTTCCTTGAATTGAGATTTAAAATAAATCGGTGACTTGAGACACCTTAATAATTATTCCAAGTGGCGACTCTATAAATTAAATAAATAATTCATTTTCAATAATGACACTTAAAATGGAAAATCTCCTTTCCCTGAAAAAAGGAAATGTGACACCAGCTATTGGGCTTTCTAAATGAATTGGATTCAATAGTTTTTGTTCATGGCCGCTTCTTCTAACCAGCTTGCACTGGACCTATGATTTGGACAGTCCTCGTTGTTTTCTTTTGAATTTTTTGATATTCACTAAGTTTCATTTTATTCGGTATTCTTTCTTTTAATTTATTTTATTATAATTGGCAACTCTTTAATTTTAACACATACTCGTATATAAAAAGAGATGCTTGTGTTTGTTATGTCAAAAACCTGACGAGAGACATGCTTTTGGTATTTTATGTAGATGTCAAGTTGTGCTATGAGTACGTGATATGGAATGACATCTGCATTTTTAAGAGTTTAGATTATAAATAAAAGTGCAATAAAATTTTATATTATCAAGTTATTTAAAAAATAATTAGATGTAACTGCCCTTGACAATTTGGCAGTAGTAACCTAAAACATAAACTAAGCAACCTACCAAATAACCAAATAGTGTAACTTTTTATACCATCAATGTATATAAGATAATATTTATCTTTATAATGTCCAATGCCGTTGTGTTATCTTTATATCTATTTATAATGCACTTCGTATGTAAAAGCTGGCGGAGAGAGAAATGGAAATTCAAATTGCAAAAATTTAAAAGCTCGAAAGAGGTCCACATTATAAGAATAAAGTATGAAACTACCAAAGCAAGCTTATAATTATAGACACAAAAATTTTCTTACAAAAGCGGATTTGCTTCAACAACCCGTTAGGGATGACTCGCCAAAAAGGGACTGTCTTCAACAACCCATTAGGGATGGCTTGCCAAGCTACGCAAATAGTAAATTTGTTTATAGTCGTAAAAGTTTTCCTACAAAGGGGCTGACTTTAACAACTTTTCAGGGACGACTTGTCAAGCTGCACAACTCAGAAAACTTTTGTACTATCATACACAAAAAGATATTTTCCTTTTTTATCAAAACATACGTCGCATTAGTAAAGTAAAAAGAGTCACTAGTTTCATGTACAAGTTGTGGACAAATTTTCATACCAAGAGATCTCGTGTTGTAAATCTGCAAAAACTAGTTATAAGGTGATTACACTTATTTTTGTTTAATTTTCTTCTAATAAAGGAGAAACTAACCACATATAGGTTGTCCAGTAGGTGACTAATATCTTTACACACCTTTTGTACCATCCATATACTATCATTACCAACTCTTTCGCATCTGGTAAGATGTAATTTTTTTTACAAATTTTAACGAACAACAATTTTTAATGCCTCCTAAATACGATAGCTTTATATTCTCTGAGCCTCAATTTTCTCGGAGTATTACTTTTTGGTTAATTACTAAAAAAATAATATTGAAACTTTATCTTTAATGGATACTCTTCCAATTTATCATGGTATAATTATGATTTTTAAGTTATTTAGAATTGACTAGTTGAAATACCAATTTTCATAATTCACCAACAATGATGATAACAGATAACCTAATGCCTAGAGACAAGGAATAATTCCAGGAATGATGCTGGTATAAAAAACCTTTGATAATGACATTATCGGGGAAAAAAAAAAATCCTTTTTATATTTTTCTTTTAATTTGTGGTCCTCATTGTCTTAAGAGTAATCCATCAGAAAATTCTTTGGCTTCAATCAGTTCAACTTGCTAACGAATTTGGGGGCTTTTCGGATTACTTGGTTGATTTTGAATTGAAATATACATAAATACAAACAAATTTAATAAGTCAAAGGGAATGTTTTCTTCCATATTTGAAAGTCTATTAAGATGTTACGCTAGGAGGATATAAATAGTAACAACCCCGTTCAAATAAGATGTAAAACATTAGATATTCTTGATTTTGGAGTGAAAAACAATGACCAACAAAATTTACTGTTTTTTTTTTCTCTCTCTCTCAAATTTTTGTGGTGATATTTTCATCTTCTAGAAAATTGAAACATTTTAGGTGAATAAATAAATATTTTTTAAGAACCTTTCCCCGAATTAATATGAATCAGCATAGAAAAATCCAAGCTAGTAATTAAAACCTTAAAAATAAAAAAACGAGGTTCTTGGAATGATCTTCAAAAACATAGGGGATTTAGTATAATTTTACAAACTAGTGCGAGTATCTATATATTAAAAAACTTTAGGGCTAACAACATAATTAGTGAAGAAGACTAATAGATTGATGACTTTTTAAATGATAGAAAAATCCAATACTTGAAAATATCTCAGAATTAGATTCCAGCACTAGTGGTCCATAACGCCAGCAAATTTGTATCCTATTTGTTGCCCTTATAATTTGTTAATAACCTATCCTCCATGTGCAAACAATAAAAATGACCATAAATTAACATTGACAAAATAATTGAAAAAGACTACTTATATTTAAACAAAATCCAATCTCGTTTAATATATAGGCCACCCTGGTCCCTCCACGTGGCACCACCACACGTGTTGGACAACAACTGGTTACCTAGCATTGATTCATCAAAACATAGCTTGGCACATATAAAGATTTTCTCACATCTGACCTAACTACCAACCATTTTTCTTTTATAACTGTGTAATTTAGACAACTTGCCTGTATTTTCACTATTTCATATTTACTTATTATTTTTCGTTAGTATAATAAAATGCAAATATCACTTTTAGCTGGCGCTATAAACTCTTATATTCAATAGCCAAAAAAGTAAGTATATCAAAATTGTATAATTTTGTATATAGCCATAATGTCATAATGTATATATATATATATACAAAATATATATATATTTTGTATATTTTTTTAAGAGCAGCTATACAGTGTCATTTTCCTATAAAATTGATGAGATGCGGCAGTGAGAAAAGAGGAGAGAGAAAAAAAAGAAAAATGATGTAACTAAATCCCCTAATTCAAGACACTAATAATGAATTGTATATAATTTGTAAGTAATCTTTGTTTAGGGTGGTAATATACAAAACTAGGACAATTTTGATAAATGAATTTCAAATATTGTATAGGAAGGAAAAAATCTCTAATTAATAAACGAGTAACTCAGCCCATCAAAACATAGACACGTACAAAAAAATCAACTTACTATATCACTACTAAGTATAGTTAGTACTTAGTAGTGATATTGAAGGTCACTTAGATATTATACACAGATGAACTTTGCTGGATAAATTAAAACTTTCTTCAGTCTTAGAAGCAACCTCTTTATACAGATCCTCTAAGACAAGCAAACTCTATTCTGACAATGACACTGCCACTGGTGGCAAGAAACTAAAAAGCCAGAGAAGAATATTTGCAAAAATAATTACATGAAACTAAAGTCAAAAATCATAATCATACTCTCCTATTTCCACACAAAACTTAATAATAATAATAATAATAAAAAGTCATTCGGAAACCTCAATGCACCTTCCCTTTTCTTGGCAATCCTATCTCTTGTATTTTTTTTTAACCAAACAACAACAAACCCAATGGAATCCCACAAGTGAGGTATGAGGAGGGTAATGTGTAAGCAGAGTCGCAGACCTTACCTCTACCTTATCAAGGTGGAGAGGTTGTTTCCGATAGACCCTCGACCTCTTGTATTTTTTAACCAAACAACAACAACAAACCCTTTGGAATCCTACAAGTGGGGTCTGGGGAGGGTAATGTCTACGCAAACCTTACCCCTACCTTATGAAGGTGGAGATCCTGTTTCCAATAGAGCCTCTGCCTCTTGTATTTTTTAACCAAGGATAACAATACGTCTAGCAAAAAAATTACAGCTTACAAAGGGTGTCCAAACCTTTGTGGCCAAAGAATGAGATTGATCACTGAACCTACTCTCCTACATAATATGTTACTACAACAAACCTTAGTTAGACCTGGTAAGTAAACTTCAATTTGATAATGTTAAATTAAGTTTGAAAATGAAGATGTCAATATGTAAGGAATCTTGGCAAGAGGACCTCTCTGGCATGCCAGTTCATGTATATCCTTCACAATATCAAAGACTGCATTAGGTTGTGCAAGTTTCAGCGCGTTCTCTGACATCGTTTTCAGCTCATCTCTCTTGATGGTAAACCATTCTGCAACAATCCGAGCTGTTTCCTTGGGGCGTCGCGTGAAAACACCTGCTCCATTGTCTACTACAAACGGAACATTTCCCTTCTCCTGCAAATACACAATGAAATATGAATAAACATCAAGATCCAATAAGCCATCAAGATTCGAAGTGAATAGTCAACTTCTCAAATTCGCTTACTTGTCCGGGAATGTAGTCGTTCAGAATAATGGGAAGCCCCCTGATTAATGCTTCAGCAATTGTACCAGGTCCAGCCTATGAAGTGCAGAAACAGAACATTTAGTCACATTATCTGACCAGTTTCCAAAGACGCGATATAGTTGTCTTAAAGTAAGGCAACAGATTGACATACCTTTGTAATAATACAATCACAAGCACCCATCCACTTCTCCATTTGTGTCTGAAATCCTTTGATCTGAACATTAACGAATGTCAGACACTTGCCATTGTAAAGTCTATCCAACTTGTATTATCATAGTTTTGTAAGGCTCTAATTACATTTACCTGAACGGGGATGTTCCATTCGAGTGATCGTAATGTGGATGCTAGGGCTTCATTGCGTCCACATATGACAATCATTTGACCGATAGGTTTGCCAAGTTCCTTATCGAACAGTGCTTCACCAAGAGCCTTTGCAGTTTTTTTCACAGGACCCATCCCTTCACCGCCACCCATTAGCAAAACCGCTGGCAACGTGGGATCCATCTCAAGTTCTACTCTAAGGCCATCCTACATAAAGTACAGAGGGAAAATAAAAGATTATAAATTAAATTTTCATCTCACAATTGGAAAGAGAGAAAAATGACTTGAAGAGGAAAGAAAGAGGAACGCAGCCTTTTTGTCAGATTGCCATGACATTCACCTTGATAAGAACTGCTCGACAAAAAGAAGGCCGGATGGGCAATCCAAAAATGCGTGTTTGCGATTCTTCCAGACGATCTAGTAAGGCCCTCTTTGCTACCTCCTCCGAGGGGCAGTACAAACGATTGACTCCTGGATGAAACCTGAAATGGGAAGTTTTTAGAAGTTGGACTGTTATATGAGATGAATACGTTAAAGCTCTAGAGTTCATCAACAAGTTACCATGTACGGTGGCAAGTGTTGAGATCCGTAATGACTGTTACGAAAATTACTTTCTTCTGTAGGCCTTGCCATTTAAGAACCAACAAAGGAATGTGCTGCATAAGAGGATGAACACTAATAATTATGTCTGGCTTGTACTCCATTAGACCAGCTTCTACCTCTCTACAAATTCAACAATGCAAACAGAAATTAGTAAACCCCTGTGGAAGTAGGCGCTAAATACTTTAATACATTGCTCAAAGAAGATTCATCTCCAATTTTCTTTTGATGAGTACCAAATTGATCACATATCTTTGCAAAAGATACAAAGCAGAAGATTACTTTCCTGATAACGTAAGCAACTATGTCAGTAATCTCCTGTAACATCCTAGCTAGTGGTGGATTCAGAATTTAAACTCTACGAGTTCAAACTTTAAGTTTTTAGTATTGAACCCATTATATTTTTAACGTTATAGGTTCATGTCTACTATTTGCTGCAATTTCAGTAAAGTTTTAGCCATAAATTTATGCTCCGCGTCGAATGCTATGGGTTCAATTGTACCCGTACCTATAACTATACATCCGCCCCTAATCTTAGCAATGATTTAATGAAGCATAAGTGGTTTTTAACAAGCATTATTGTCATGATTAACAATACACGTGTGTAATTAAATGTAGACAAAGATATCGAGGGTGACCTAACTGCAGTATGAAAAAGATAAGATTCAGAAAGCAATAAACTCATTGAGAATTCCCCTAGACAGAGCATTAAACACTACTACACAAAATATCTATAACTTGAGACAATGCAAAAAAAGTTAAGAGCAGAGACGATAACGTACTTGGCATAGAAGGCGGCAATAGCAGCAAGATAAACAGAGTGTATCCACCGAGGTGACGTGCCATGAAATGCGACGCTCCAAAGGCCAACATGTTTAACCATGAACTTGTATTGTTGTTCCATGTTGTTCAATGGCCAGCCAGTGTATTCCTTCCAAACATCCTTGACAAAAATCTGCATGTATAGACCACATTAGGCAAAACCTAATTGAAACATGAAATCATGGTAGGTCCAATACAGCAAAGACTTCCCAAGGCATGTGATTCCATGGATAGAAACCCCACATCTTTAATTGTTAAAAAAAAATCAATCTAAGGGCAACCCAATGTACAAAGCATCCCGCGTTCACGCAGGGTCCGGAGAAGGGCCGCACCCCAAAGGGTGTGATGTAGGCAGCCTACCCTGCTGCAAGCAGTGATAAATTCTACGGCTGTGAGAATCATATTAAAGTAACAATAGGAGTATAGGACAGAGTTAGGTCAGATATTAAAGAAGCTAGATAGGTAACATTTTACTTGAAAGAGTTAAATCAATATGTCAAACAAAAATTAACTACTTACTATTATTTTGCTTAAACTGCATAATTAACATCAAACACGCAATCTGAACAGCTGAAAACAGGTTTACTTAACAACTTCTCAACTTTAAAACACTAAATCAAGTTTTCCAATTTTGACAATAAGAAAATTGACCTCATTAATTATTCCCCTAGGGGCCACACGCAATTGACCTGTACTTAACAACTAAGCAAGCAGATCACAGAAACTCAAAAAACTCCAAGAACCAAAACGAAGGAAAAAGCAAGCTGGTAAAAAACCAGAAAAAAATCAAAGATGTGTAATAAGCAATTAAAAGGCATCCCGGTGCACTAAGCTATAGCGGGAGGTCTGGAGAAGAATCGGACTACAACAGTATATTGTAATCAGCTTTCTCTTGCATTTCTGCAAGATGCTGTTTCCCTCGACTCTAACCTGTGATCTCTTGATCACATGGCAATAACCGGTAAAACTTTATCAGTTACGCTAATTAAAAGTTAAAAAAAATACCCTATATTCATCTCCATATTCTAACTTGAAAGCATCCCGAATTGCCTCAGCTGAAGCCCTATGACCACCACCAGTATCACTCATCAAAATAAGCACATTTTTAGTCCTTTCAGCCCCAATTTGCACCATTTCCATTGTGTCATCTTCATCTTGAAAATCATATTTGCATCTCTTCTGGCTGCTACCACCAAACCCATAAACCCCAACTCTCTCCAACACTGTGTGTATAGATTTCCTAGGGGAAGTCACCTTAGTCACCATATTTTAACCTCTTTTTTCACCGATCCCACAAAATATACATAAATTGGTCCAAAAATCGTTACTTGAAAAGGTCAAAGACCCCCCAAAAGGTAACAATTCAACCACCCTTTTACCTGCAAAGATCAAAAGGACTAGTGGAAGGTTACAAAAAAATACAAAAGGGTTTAAGAATTTCCAAGAAAATTCAGGATTTGGACACCCTTTTTCAAGAAGATGAAGTTTATAGACCTAGACAAAACAAGTACGGAGAAAATGGGGTTGGTAACTTCCTATTTTCAGTAACTTTCGGAAGAAGTAGAGCTGTAGAGGGAAAGTTACAATAACACAAAAAGTTTAACAAATTTTAAAGAAAATCCAAGATTTGGACACCCTTTAAGACCCTTTATCAGAAAATGGAGGTAAGAGAGTTAGACAGTACAAGTATGGAGGAAATAGGCTGGTATTTCTGTTATAATAAGAGAAACAAAGAGAGAATAGAAGGTACTGTTTTAGATACTGGAATGATGCTTTCAGTTTTAAAAAATAATGATGCTTTCAGGGGAACAATTATGGCGGAGTTTTCAGTGATTTATAGCCGTCGGATTTGTGCCTAGTAATTTTGTGTTATGGGGTCTGAAATTTGGACTGATTCGTTGGAAACTTGGAATGTTCGGATAGGCAGATTCGAATCTTTTTCCATAGAATTATTGGTTTATTTAATAGAGCTTATGCTAAAGTTATTTACTCTTCCGTGAATTTGTTTGATTACACAAAAATTTGACTTAAAATTTGCGTTCTAAACATGCTATGTCCTTATAAAATTGCATTCATTAAGAATAAGATAGTATTATTATCCTTTTAAAATAAATCAAAGGAGAAAATGTGTCACATAAAATAAAAAATATTTTCTTACAGTTGAGCCTTTCTTTTAGGGGAATTTTTATGGAATTTTCAAATTATTGTTTTAAGTGTTCAAATTAATTGTTTGTTTGCTTTTGTCATTGTCTATTACAGTTGTTAAACCCATGAAAGTTGGTGTCCACTCCACTCTTTGCTTTTATAATTGTGGCCTTCCGTTTATTAATATAATAATCATATATAACACTGTAGTTTTTCTCAGATATTATTTTCATGTGTCATAGACTCATCACTCATAGTTAAGCTTTCTTTGGTTGGAAAATTTTCAGAAGATATTACTATTAATGTATTTTTAAACTTTTATGACTATTCTTGTAGTGTTTTTCTATATTTGGAAGAAACACTTGAAATAAGTTGTGAGAAAATATATGTAGATGACAATCGCTTGACGTTATGGCAAAGGTTGGAAGAACCAAAATGTCACAAATCAAATATGTGAATATTTCAAGCTAAGTAGTGTATAAGTAGGGATTTGAACATAAAAATTGTGACTTTTTGGAAGAAAAAAAATAGTATTTGAAAGTACGTTGAAAAATAATATTTGAAATTTAAAATTTGAACATGCATTTTACTTCAAAAGATATTGCAGTTTTATGATTGGGAATAAAACTTTTTGATTTTTGAAAAACTCAATTTCAAAAAATCTCAAAAACTTATAATTTTTTAAGGACAAGCACGTTTTTGGAAAAAATTGTGGAAAAAAGAAACTTTTTTTATGAACAAACAGGTCCTTAGTGTTTTCAGCATTTCTAACATAATGCATATTAAGTTAATGTAAGAAAGATTAATGTATGCAATGTAAGATTTTAAATTAGAACATTGTAGGTTATTCCTACCCAGTGTTTTAAAAGGCGTGGGTGTAAGGCGAGACACTTTACATATGCCTCAGCGAGGCGTAAGCCCCATACGTATTTAATTTTAATATTTTATAAAATAATATAATTATAGTAAATATTTATAAATAGGTAAAATTACATAAAAATTGAATAGAACTATATATATATATATGTGTGCGCGCGCGAGCGCTCCATCCCCACAAAAAAACTAGTCAAAATAATCTATTATACGCCACTTGCAAGTACAAGCAACTTGAATCTAAAAGAATAAAAAATTTCACATGGAGGAACAAAAATGATAACTAACCGACAATTTGAATTTTGAACTTGCTGCTATGAAGGAGAATGAAGTTCTCTTTGTGTAAAAAAAAATTAAATGTTCGTTGCGTTTGGGAGATATTAGCAGACTAGCGGACAAGATAAAAAATTTGGAAAGACCATAAATTATGGCTTCAATCAATAAAAAAGGTCTTGACTTTTAAATTTAATACATTTAAGTTTCTTTTTAAAATTTTTGAGTAATTACCGAGCTGACTTTTGAGAATTTGGGTATTATATAAATGACTTATTCAACAAATTTTGTTTTAATTTGAAAAAATCTCTGGGGCTTACGCCTCACTAAAAAACGCGCCTCAAACGCCCAGGCGCACTTCCCGAATTGCTGGGCATATGCCTTTTGAGACTTTCGCCCCACACCATTGACTCATGACGTTTTTGGTAAGCCTGGCCCCGAAAATGCCTTTTAAAACACTGTTCCTACCACACATAGAAAAACGATTAGTTTGGCCAAACATCCAAATAAAGAAACCTTTTTAGACCGTAGAACCAAATAAGCAATCACATAAACTTAAAGAGAAAAGAGAATTTTTTGACGTCTACATTTGTTAAAGTAGAAGTTTCCCACATAACTTATTGAGGACACTATAAAAGGTCATACTTCCTCATGGAAATATCTTATCCTCACTTTTTTAGCGACTTGCATATTCTTCTTTGGAATTGAAATTTGTTTGTTTCAATCAAAGTTAACTCCTCCAAAAATGCTATGGTAATTGGAGATATTAGAAGAGGAGCCTAGAAGTAACGGTACAGGTATCTCTGTGTGATTTATATGTCACAGGTTTGAATCGTAAAATTAGTTATTGATACTTGTATCAAGGTACGCTGCCATAAATACGAGATGTTTCGTGTATCGATCTGTCATTTATTGACCTCGAGATACAAATTTTCAGAAGAGTCCATTTTTTTTTGAATATTTAAATGTGGAGCCATGAGACCTTCATGTCTAATTGTGACTGATGATTGACTATAGTCTATAGGGAAACAAAGATGAGTAAGTTAAAGGGATATTAAATCGGCCACTCACATAAATTAACATGGGCATCCAAATTCAACGCTCTTTGAATTTCACTTATCAATAAGCTGGAATAGGACACATATCAACCAACGCTATTGTAATGACCATAACACGCTTTAAAGATAGTTATTAGTACAATAAATGAGATTTTAGGTGTGAATTTGTTTTATTATGGGCAGTAGGGTCAAAATACATCTTTGGATTAATATTATATCTATGGTTTAATCTTAATACAGAGCAATATAGTTAACGATTTACAGATTCATTTGAATTCAATGGTTTTGACNGAGTCAGTATCTGTCTTCACGATCGATCTTGATACAGTGCTAAACTCTTTAATTTATGGCAAGTCATAGAGTTAAACCAACTATTATTTAATTTCTCTATATTTTACACATGTAACTGTTTTTTTTCTCTTTCAAAAGTTTCGCATGTGGAATTAAGGACGAAAATATACAATTAAAGGCTCGCGATCCTATATTAGGACAAAACAATCCTTGATAATTTAAGAGAATTATTAACTGTCGTTTCCTTTTCATCGATACATTTAGTATAATAAATTAAAAAAGATTTCCCTCAGAAACATCGATAAAATTGAGACTTGTGATATGACACACAAGAGATCATTTTTTGCTGTATGTCTTCGGTATTCAAATTATACTAGTACGACTAATGCAGATTCGTATCACTCATTAAAGAGAGAAGTATTCTCTATCACGAGCTTTTGCATTCACAGGACACGAACTCTATCGAAACCTCTAGTTAAAAGTGGAAGGATCTTCCTAATCCCTTTATTGGTCCAACTAATCTTGATCCATACAACATAAGGCTCACTGAAGGAGGGAAGCGCTTTCTAGAGGATCAACAATCAATATTTTTATGAACTTATGCTTTAATTTTTAATTTATATGCAACTCAAGTATAATTTTTAATATAATAGTAATGCGATCCTTTAAAGTTCTGTATTTATAGATATTAAGTATACGCGCAACGCGCGTAACAAGAGATTGGTAATTGGACCAAGTACTGCTTAATGTTCTCTCACTCTTTGGCTACTGATTTTAAGAGGGGGGAAAAAGTCAGAATGCAGTTACTATCTATTTCATGACACTCTCTTTGATACCGTGTTTAACTCTTTATTTTATGGCAAGTCATAGAGTTAAACTATTTTTTTTTATTTCGTTATATTCTGCACATGTAACTGAGTTTTTTTCCTTCCAAACGTTTCGCATGTGGAATTAAAGATGGAAATATAAAATTAAAGCCTCTCGATCCTATCTTAGATAAAGCAATCCTTGATAATTTAAGGGATTTATTAACTGTCGCTTCCTTTTCATCGATACATTTAGTATAACAAAAGAATTACCTCATAAACATAGATAAATTGAGACTTATGTGGTATGACACACAAGAGATCAACTTTTGTTGTATGCTTCCGATATTCGAATTATACAGGTACGATTAATCCAGATTCATATTGTGTATGACTCAGTAAAGAGAGTAGTTCTTATATTTTCATTGCTCGGATCTGATTGAGACCTCTGGTTAAGAGAGGAAAGATCTCATCAATCCTTATATTGATCCAACTAATCTAGAGTCTGTGTGACGTAAGGCTCACTGAAGAAGGAAAGCGCTTTCTATAAGAGTTTCTCAATTTTCAGGGTCTGAATACTCTTTAATTAAGAGAGGAATTATATAATCCAATTAATTCACTTTTCATTTATGTTGTTGTTAGTCGATATTGGCTAATGAAATTAGTAGGCATTAGTTGCTGAGTTGGCTCAATCAGTTAGGAAGTCTTTAGGGATTAGTTAGAGCACATCTTGTGCACATGGGTCCGAAAAGTAGTTATAACTAACTTTCCCAGCCAAAATATTCTTCCTTTATTAGCTAGCCTAGATCTGATTTGTATTCATTCTGTTTTGGCAAAAGAATCAATAAAATCTTTCTCTCTCTCTCTCTCTCTCTACTTCTCTCTAAATTCCGTCTGGGTTACAAGCTCGAGTGGAATGTTCAAGTGTAATTCTTTGTTTTACTCTTTAGGAACACTCAAATTCTTTCTATTTTTGTATCGCAATTGGCAGAACTGTATCATTGTATCATTGCAAGCCATTCTCGGACCAAACAATGGGCGATCACAACACATGTGTGCATGAATTGTGAAAAATGGTTGATAACCTCAAGGGTTCCATGGATATTATGGCCAGTTCTCTTTCTGATTCGAGGCAGATGATGGATGCGAAGGTGACACAGGCTATGGACGAAATCAAAAAAAATGATATTATGCAATTTGACCATGGGAAGTGACGCACAGTCGTCGGGGGAAGCAACAGTTTCAGATTGAGTTCCAACAGTTGCTCAAACCATGAATGACGATTACCAATTGCCAACTAGGGGTTATTAAATTGAATTTCCAAAGTTTAATAGGGAAGGATTGAAGGATTGGC